CAAAGCCAAAAGGAGGGCTTATTATGAAGATCCCCACATGCTTTTAGAAACTTTATGAAATTATTAGTAAAGACTCTTCCAGTAACTTGGGAAATATGTCAGAATCTCAAGGAAGAAGGATGCACAACTTGCAAAAATATATTCAGTATCATAATGCCGTTGTGTACTTGAATTACAAAAAAAAAACCCTATTGTTTTTGCAATACAGACTAGAGGCTTAGTGAGGTTTTTATGTGCAGAGGTTTACAAAGGTTGTGAAATAGTCATCAGAAATGGTGATGATAGGGGCGCCTGGGTGGCTCAGTGGGTTAAGCATCTGACTTCGACTCAGGTCATGATCTCATGGTTCATGAGTTTGGTCCCCACATCTGGCTCTGTGCGGACAGCTCGGATCCTGGAGCCTGCTTTGGATTCTGTGTCTCCCTCTCTCTCTGCTCCTCTTCTGTTCATGCTCTCTCTGTCTCTCAAAAATAAATAAACATTAAAAAAAAATAAAAGAAAAAAAAAGGAATGGTGATGATAGTTGGGTCTCCTCTGAGCCTTACTTGCTCTTCTGTTCCCTTCACGGTTCTCCTAAAGGCACACCAATGTCATGTTCTCTTCTGCCCGAGGGAGACCTGCACGTGCCCCACCTTCCAACACTTTTCAGAATTTTTCACTGGAATCTTTTCCAGAACTCTCCCTGCTCTCTTTTCTGGTCCTTTCCTGAGTTTTAGTGGATTTTGATCGGCTCTTGTTGGGTAACTTATTGTAATTTGTTTGAACGAGCATTATCCTTGCTTGCTTGCTTGGAATATCTTTGTTAACTTCAACAGAAAATATGCCATCTCCAGAATCACTAATCACAAAATCAAGGTGTGAAAAATGTTGCTGTAAGTTACTGCTTTATTCTTTTTCCAGCAATCATTGTAGTTGATCACTTTTCCAGTTCTTAGCCACTCAGTTGTGATAATCGAGGGACACTGTGTTGTGGTTTCCGAACTGCCAGCTCAGAATAGGAGACAACTTGGTTAGGGAGGCAGCATGCAGAAAGGTTAAAAGCATCAAGCTGGAAGTCGGGCACCCTTGACTTCATGTCCTGGCAAGTTATGGAAACTTTCTGAGCCTTAGTTTCAGCATCTGTGAAATGGGATTAATCGCAACTACCTTTTGGCAAAACAAAAAGCAAAGAGAGACAAACCAAGAAACAGACTCAACTATAGAGAACAACTGGTGGTTGCCAGAGGGGAGGTTGAGGGGGGAGGGGATGGGTGAAGCAGGTAAAGGGAGGATTAGGAGTACACTGAGCATGATGAGCACTGCGTAATGTATAGAATTGTCGAATCACTATATTGTACGCCTGAAATCAATAGAATACTGTATGTTAACGATGCTGGAATTAAGATTAAAAACTTAATAAAAAAATCACACCTACCTTTTGGGATTGCTGTGATGATTTACTAAGATAACGTTTCTAGAGTGCTTAGCATGGTGCCTGGCATATAGATTGGCACAACAGGAAGTGGTAATTTAGGAATGTAATTGGACATCAGTCTTTAGTTTCTAATGAATTGAAGTTTTCCCACTTCCCGAAGCCTTCCTATGCCCTTACAATTTTAGAGCTAGAGGGTACTTTGAAAACCTCTTAGTTCAGTACTTTTATTTTTTTAAAATTTTTTTAATGTTTTATTTATTTCTAGGAAAGAGAGAGAGAGAGACAGCATGAGCAGGGGAGGGTCAGAGAGAGAGGGAGACACAGAATTGGAAACAGGCTCCAGGCTCTGAGCTGTCAGCACAGAGCCCGACACGGGGCTCGAACCTATGAACCATGAGATCATGACCTAAGCAGAAGTCGGACACTTAACCGACTAAGCCACCCAGGCGCCCCCAGTCCTTTTATTTTTTTAGGTGAGGAAATAGACCAAGTGACTTAGCCATAATCCTAACAGTGTAGTTTAATAAATGCCACAACAGGGCTAAGTTCAAATTCTGTAAATATACATTTTAAAAGCGTCTTTACTGAGATTTAATCTATATGCCATACACCCACTTGAAATGTACAATTCAGTGGTTTTTATTATATTCACAGAGTTGTGCAATTATCACCACAGTTTAAGCTTAGAACATTTTTATCACTCTAGAAAGAAACCCTGGTCTATAGACAGTCGCTCCCCATTCTGCTCCACTCTGTTCCCTTCGTAACCACTAATTATTCTACGTCATGTCTCTGTACGTTGCGTTATTCTCAACTTTTCCATTTTATTAATGTGGTCTTAAAACGTGATCTTTTTGGCTGTCTTCTTCCACCTACGTTGTGGTGTATGTATCCTTTATTCCTTTTTTTTTTTAATTTTTTAACGTTTTTATTTATTTTTGAGACAGAGAGAGACAGACCATGAGCAGGGGAGGGTCAGAGAGAGAGGGAGACACAGAATCTGAAACAGGCTCCAGGCTCTGAGCTGTCAACACAGAGCCTGACACAGGGCTCAAAACCACAGACTGCAAGATCATGACCTGAGCCAAAGTCAGACACTTAACTGTGCCACCCAGGCACCCTCCTTTATTCCTTTATATTCAATAATATTCAATGTATGGATATGCCATATTTTATCAATTCATTTAGTAGTTCATGGACATTTGGATTGCTTTATTTTTGAGCTGTTATGAATAAGGCTGCTTGGTTATCCATGTATATGTTTTTGTGAGGAAATACGTTTTAAATTCTCTTGGGTTCATACTCAACAAGGGGAATTGCTGGATCATATGGTAACTCTATGTTTAAGTTTTCGAGAAACCCTCAAACTTTTCCAAAGCAGCAGCACCTTTTTATATTCCCACCAGCAGTGTACAAGGTTCCAGATGTTCAATATTTTCCTCAATTTATTATCTGAATTTTTTCTTTAAGTTTATTTATTTGTTTTGAGAGTGCGAGAGACCGTGGGAGGGACAGAGGGAGAGGGAGAGAGAGACAGAATCCCAAGCAGGCTCCCCACTGTCAGCGCACAGCCCAATGTGGGACTCAAACTCACCAACTGTGAGATCATGACCTGAGCCAAAACCAGGAGTTGATGTTTAACCTACTGAGCCACTCACATGTCCCTAATATGACTTTTTGATTATAGCCATCCCAGTGGTTGTGAAGTACTGTCTCATTATGGTCTTGACTTGTATTTATTTCCCTGATGGTTAATGACGTTGAACATCTTTTCCTGAGCTTATTGTCCATTCATGTATCTTCTTTGGAGATATGTCAATTCACACCCTTTGCCCATTTTGAAATTGGGTTGTCTTTTTATTATTGAGTTATAATAATTCTTAATGTACTCTGAATACCATCCTCTTATCAGATACGTGGTTTGCATATATTTCCCCCATTCTGTGGGTCATTTCACTCTCCTAAAAGCTACCATTAGCAGCACAAAAATTGTTAATTTTTAATGTCCAGTTTATTTTCTCCTCTGCTGCTCATGCTTTCAGTGCCATATCTCAGAAGCCATTGCCTAATGCAGTGTCACAAAGATTTTTCCACTACGTTTTTCTCCTAAGAGTTTTTAGTTTTAGCTCTTAGGTTTAGGTCTTTGATACATTTTGAGTTAATTTAGGTGTAGGGTAGAAAGAAGGGCCCTACTTCATTCTTTCGCACGTGGATATCTAGTCCCAGCACCATTTGTTGAAAATACACATTTTTAAATAGAATTTACATCATCCTTTTATCTAAACCTTGAAAGGAAAGCCTATATGGCCTAGGAAGAATGCAGTCTGAGCAAAAGCAAAGAGTTTGGGGAAGGGACTTAGCCGGTTAGCATATGGGGGTTTCCACCCCTCCCGCAACCAGTTCTTCAGTCTAGATTACCTGCCAGTTAATTCACCATTGGAAATCTAATGTTTTATTTCTTTGGCTCCGGTTGAGGCCCTGGTATGAGCATTCATTAAAAACTCGCCAGGTGATTCCAGTGTGGAGGCACACTTAAGAACGAGTGAGGTAAAGAGTTAATAGTCCTAATGAGGACCAAGCCAGCAGTATCAGATGGCTGCTGGAAGGGGAGGGAGATAGGCTGAGGTGCTTGCTTTTCTCTGATGAGCTGCAGGACCATTGTCCTCATTGTCCTTGTTGTTCGGGGCTCTAGAGGTGGCAGCATCTCCTTACTGAAAAACTAGAGTTGTACCACATCAGTGCTTTCTGGGGTTAGAAGCACTTTGGGCATGAAGTATGTGAAATAAGATGACTTCTACATTTAAGGGGGAAAAGAAAGACCAATAACATAAATCCCAAGCACTGTTTCTCCTTTGGTAAGTGACGGAAATACTGTTTTATAATACAAGTGCTTTTTAAAAAAAAATGATTTGATTGCATTTCACAAATGTTAGAAGAGAGTATTCTACTACTCTGCCACTTGAGTTTCTACCTTTTCTTCTGTGGCCACTGTGAAACATTTTGGCCTTAAAGTAACTATATGAGAACAGGGGTGCCCGGGTCACCCAGTTGGTTAAGCGTCTCGACTCCGCTCAGGTCATGACCTCACAGTTCCTGAGTTCCAGCTCTGCATCAGGCTCTGTGCTGGCAGCTGGCAGCTCAGAGTCTGGAACCTGCTTCAGATTCTGTGTCTCCCTCTCTTGCTCTCTGCCCTCCTCCCACGCCTCCCCCGCTCACATTCTGTCTGTCTCTCTCAAAAATAAACAAACATTAAAAAAATTTTTTTAAGTAATTATGAGAACAAATTAAGTTTTTAAATTGAAGATCTTAAGTCTTTTGAGTATATGAAATACAAGTAAAATGTTCTTTATTGTCTAAAACTGTAAAGTGTCTGGGAACCAGTAAACCATGTGTCACAAGCCATCAAGGAACACTTAGAAACTGTGTAGCACTGACTTGACCTCCTCTAGACATTTGTGGACTGGGGAAAACAGGGAGCTGGTCCTTCCCCACAGATGGTCGTGAAGCTCTGTTCCAAAGGAAGTAGTTTTGAGGAGGGAGGTCTTTTAAAGAAACCATCTTACTTTTTACATTTACTTTCTTTCAGGGATTTTGTATTGGAAGACATGGATCTTGCTGCCAACGAGCTCAGCATTTATGACAAACTTTCAGAGACTGTGGATTTGGTGAGACAGACAGGCCATCAATGTGGCATGTCTGAGAAGGCAATTGAAAAATTTATCAGACAGCTGCTGGAAAAGAATGAACCTCAGAGGGGGCCACCCCCATATCCTCTCCTCATAGCCATGTATAAGGTAAACATGTGTTTTCACTTGGAAATACCTTAAACAGCACAAACTCTTCAACCTTCTCCCCAAACGTTACTACTATTGATGGATTCCACCATCGAACCTTAGTTTTCCTGTGACTAAGTTGGCCTTTGCTCTCATTACCATAAGTTACTAAGAAATTTGACCCATTTTGTTAAATATCCTTGGTGAAAGCTATATATTTATACTAAACTGTATTTGTGTATACTCTTTAATGGAGGCCATAGTCCCCGGTCATACAATGGAAGCCTGGTGCTGGGTACCTGTCTGGCTAAGTCAGGAGGGTGTGCAACTCTTGATCTCGAGGTCATGGGTTCAGGCCCCACTCTGGACATAGAGCCTACTTTAAAAAAAGAAAAGAGAAGGGAGGGAGGGAGGGAGGAAGGAAGGAAAGTTGGTGAGCCATGCAGTCCTCATAGTTCTCAAACTTTAAATGCATTTCATTCAGAAGCGAACGTAGGCAATTTGACAATAAACTGTATTTAAAAAAATAGATAAAATATAAATATTTAAAAAATAAAACTACAAAAGGTTAAAAAATGAATGTAAATGGCTTGTTTATGAAAATGGACTAGTTCCTAAAGCACAGTGAAAATAGTGGAAGAGGCTGGGTTTTTTTTTTCTTTTTTCTCTTGGCATTAAAGTATTTTCGTTTGCCAGGACAAGTATTAACCCTTATCCTGTCTTTCCTTATAGGTCCTTGTAACCCTGGGATTAATCTTGCTCACTGCCTACTTTGTGATTCAACCTTTCAGCCCATTACCGCCTGAACCGGTGCTTTCTGGAGCTCACACCTGGCGCTCACTTATCCATCACATCCGGCTGATGTCCTTGCCCATTACCAAGAAGTATATGCCAGAAAATAAGGGCGTTCCTCTGCATGGGGATGATGAAGACAGACCCTTTCCAGGTAGAAGCCTGCATTTTGCTACTTACACAGCTTTCTTGACAGTGTATGATGGGAAAGGAAATAACGTGTACTGACATCTAATGAGAGACACTTTCCCACTTTTGTCTTTTTTTTTTTTTTTTAATTTTTGTGTGTTTTTATTTATTTTAGACAGACCGAGCAGGGGAGGGGCAGACAGGGAGGGAGACACAGAATCCAAAGCTGGCTCCAGGCTCCAAGCTGTCAGCACAGAGCCCGATGCAGGGCTCAAACTCGTGAACTGTGAGATCATGACCTGAGCTGAAGTCGGACGTTCAACCAGTTGAGCCACCCAGGTGCCCCTCAGTTTTGTCTTATTTAATTCAGTCCCCACTAAAGCTCTGTTTGATAGGGTTTTTTTGTCCCTGTCTTGCAGATTGAGGAACTGAGGCTCAGAGAGATTAAGAAACTTGCCAGAAAACCACTTTTGGGGAAGTCAGATTCAAACCCCCTGATTCCAAAGCACATATGGTGGGGACAAGTATTTTTGTTCATAAGAAAGGTTTGAATGTACTTTAGTCTACCCTTTTCTCTCCTGTGATCCCTATCCATATAGATATTTTAATAAATAGCTATTGATTTATTGAAAATATCTGAGTCCAGCTTGCTTTTAACCAGATCCTCTAATAGGCCTTAGCCTATTGGGCTGGGGTTTTGTCCCACTTTGTCACACTCTTTCAGTGTAGCGTTTTCTCTGTCTCACAATAGACTTCGTGCTCTTATGTGTACAGTTTTGCCAGTAAGTTGAGTTTAGGAAATATTTAAATTTTGTAACAGTGTTATCAGTGAGAGCACAGGAATTTCTGGTCTGACACATCTTTTGCGAAGATTATAACGTGTGATAAGACTTGAAATTTACTTTTCTTTTTTTTAATGTTCATTTTTGAGAGAGAGAGAGAGTGAGCGAGCGTGAGCCGGGGAGGGGCAGAGAGAGAGGGAGACACAGAATCTGAAGCAGGCTCCAGGCTCTGAGCTGTCAGCACAGAGCCCAACGCAGGGCTTGAACTCACAATCCGTGAGATCATGACCTGAGCTGAAGTCGCACGCTTAACCAACTGAGCTACCCAGGCACCCCTGAAATTTGCTTTTTGAGAAATAATAGAGGGGATTTTATTTTATATTTTAAAGTTTATTTATTTGAGAGAAAGTGTGAGCTTGAGCTGGAGAGGGGGAGAGAGAATCCCAAGCAGGCTCTGTGCTGTGAGCACAGAGCCTGATGTGGGGCTCGAACTCACGAACTGTGAGATTATGACCTGAACCAAAGTCAAGAGTCAGATGCTTAACCAACTGAGCCACCCAGGTGCCCTGGATTTTATTATTTGGTGGTGTTCATCTTATTTGCCCAGATAAAGGATTATGGAAATTAATTTCACAGGTATATTATAGGAGTTTTTGTGTCACTGTGTTCTGAAGCCTTTAGATTCCAGCATAACTGAAATCTAAACTGTTTAGGAAGCGTATTTTCTCCTCAGTGTTGTGTTCATAAAAAATTTCCTAGTGGAAGCTACACTTTATACTGTTACTCTTTTTTCTTTTTTAACTTTTTTTTTTTCTTTTTGAGATCAAGAGGAGGGTCGGGGTGGAGGGAGGGAGCTCAAGCTGGAGAGGGGTAGAGAGAGAATCTTAAGCAAGCTCCAAGCCCAGCACAGAGCCTGCCATGGGGGTCCATCCCTCAACCATCAGATCATGACCTGAGCCGAAATCAAGAGTCAGATGATTAACCCACTGAGCCACCCGGGCACCCCTACAATGTCACTCTTTAAGCCAAAACCTAATCAGTCATAAAAATCCCTTGTATTGAGTCTCCTTTGAAAGCTGTTTTTGTACACTTGAAGAAATTATGGAAAGATTTTCAAAAGCATACCAAAATCAGAAGAAGGAAACGTAAAGCAGAAAGACTTGTGAGGTTTTTTTTTTTTGTTGGTGTCTTTTTTGTATTTTTAGGATTTTTTTTTTAGTTGGCTCATATGTATAGAGTTTTTAATTCCAGATATAACTTCCTTGTGTTGTTGAAATGTCATCAAGAAAACCAAAAAAAAAAAAAAAAAAAAAAAAGAAGTGGTATTTCCCACTCCTCTGTCAGAAAGGTCCAGAGCACATGAGGGAAAGACCCAGAATAACTTGTCAGGCCAGCCTGGTGGTGCTGCCTCACACGCATCAACGCCTCAGCCTCTTTTCCTGGCTTCCTCTCATGGCCTCCCTAAAGGCATCTACTGCCCTCTAGCACATAGAGATCGAGTCAGCAATTTTTAGGACCAAGTTGATGGCAGTTACTCTGTTTCTCCCCATCCCGTAAGGGGAATTTCCTTAGACTGTTGGGTTAAGAAGTGATAGCTGATGGACCATGATTGCTCATTCTCTATACCAGAGTCCTATAATTCAAGAAACCTTAGTGGCTTGTCAACAAGCCTAACTGTTGGGGCCACTCCAAATGAGTATTTTGCCTTGCAGATGGAAACTGAATTCTTGGAGCTCAGTTGTAAAGAGACAGCGTTGCAAGGGTGTGGTTTTTAGCTTTTCACTGTTGTTGACTCTTAAAGTGCTGCTTTTGCTTCTAAGTGTGGGCATTGATCGCTGTGTGTGTGAACGTCCTGGGAAGCTGTGGCCGTGTACAACTAACAGCATTTTGCAGAGCATTTGGAAAGAAACTGAGGAATACATAATAATGTAAGGGGTAAATGGAAACAGGTGGAGGAGAATTAGGTACAAGAAATAGGACATGTGGGGCCTAGAAGAGGGCTAGAAAAGGAAAAAATATAAATTATTCTTCCTGATATCATGGTACCAACGAACAACTGCCTTATAGTTAGAAATACTTAGTAAAACCTTTGAAGTACATGTAGAGGGAATGTGGCACGGCCGACTCAGCTCCCTAAAGGAAAGCCCTCAAGCTTGTTGTTTCCTAAGGGTTGACCTGTCAGAAGTTCCCGGGTCATCTGATGCCCCTTGCAGTGACGCCTTGGGAATGACCTAGGGCACTGGGAGCAATGGTGACCTCTGGTTGTTTTTCCTCTTGACTCCACCCAGGGAACAAGAGGCAACAGAGGTGGGGTTCTTTTTCCAGGCTTCAGTCTTGGGTAGGAAACCCTACTTCGACAGGGTTTATCCACATGTATAAGTAAAAACCCTGCTCCTGAATCCTCTTGATGAGAAGAATGGAGGGACTCTGCAGTGACTCACGGCAGCCTCCCACTCTGCAGCAGAAAATAAATAAGCCGACACTTACTTACTTGGTACTTCCTAGATGCCAGGCCCCCCTCAAAGGCTTTCCATATATTGCCTCATTTAGTCTTCACATTATCCCTGTAAGGGAAGTTCTGGTTTTATGCCCGTTTTAAGGATGGAGACACCAAGGGACAGTGACATTACGTCACTTGCCTTAGGTCCCAAGGCTACTAAGTCATGGAACTGTGATTCAAACCCAGGCATCCTACCCTTGGAGTCTGAGCTCTTAGCCTCTGCTGTGAGCAGGGTGTAGCTGCACATTATACCTGAAGAATATAGCTTTTAGTGTCATTTTGGTGTTCTGTGCTCTCTCTCGGCTCACCAGATGCTTCTCCTCTGCTCCCTAGTGCCCGGAACAAGTTTTTTCTGGCTGGCATTGCATGTCCAAAGATAAACCATCCTCCAGGCTCTGGCCATTTAGAATTTTCCTGAACTAGTCTTTTCCTAGGCATTCAGCCCAGCTCATCTTCCCAGTCTACAGCCTTATGGGTAATGTGTGACTTGTTGTTTGCCTTAATCCTTTATCTGATTAACCCATAGTTTTCCCTTCACAGTCACATTCTCTTAGTCCCCCTCACCCCCAACCTTATATCTTTATATCCACTTTGATCCTCCCAGCCATCCCCTTGGGTTTCACCCTTCCATGGAATCACTGAGTCTTAGAGCTAAAGAGGAACTTTAGCATTGATCTAGCACATAGCCTTGTTTTGTAAAGAGGAAATTGAGGACAGGAGAGGTGAAGTAACTTGCTTACCCAGCTAAAAATGCCACATTAGCACTTGAACCTTTGTTTCTTAATTCTAGTCTGGCATCTTGCCATCACACCACACTCTCTGTCTGCTATCTCTGCCCTCAGCCAAGCCAGTCTCCGCATGTTAGGCCCAATTACTTTGTTTACTTTGGATCTGTAATTTTTTTTAAGATATTATTTTTGGGGCACCCGGCTGGCTCAGTCGGTTGAGCATCTGACTTTGGCTCAGGTCATGAACTCATAGTTCATGGGTTCGATCCCCATGTCAGGCTCTGTGCTGATAGCTTGGGGCCTGGAGCCTGCTTCTGATTCTGTGTCTCCCTCTTTCCCTGCCCCTCCCCTGCTCACACTCTGTCTCTCTCTCTCTCAAAAATAAACATTAAAAAAAATTTTTTTTAAGATTTTATTTTTAAGTAATCTCTACTTCCAACACGGCACTTGAACTCACAACCCTGTGATTAAGAGTTCCATGCTCTATCGACTAAGCCAGCCAGGTGCCCCTAGGCATTTATAATTATGACACCCATTAATGCTGAGGAGGTCTGAGACAGTCTCATATGCAATGGGAAAGTGTATCTCTATATCTGTACTGCGTAATTGGAACTTTATATTCCATGAACTTTCAAGGGAAGGTTGGAGTAGATCTGGCAACTCAGGTGGTTTTGGGATCATTCAGTGACTTAGAACTGAGGACCGAAGCAGAGTCAAGGCTAGTACCCAAAGATGAACTGCTTGGACCTCAGGAAATGCCCTACTATTTTATTTGCAAGTAAAATTTGAGGTGATAATAACAAATATGTCAAGCGCTTACTGTATATGAGGCACTGTGCCATGTACTCTGCTGTGTCCTAGTGTCACAATAGTCACAGAGGTAGTTACCATTTTTATGTCCCTCCCAAAGATGAGACTGATATGCAAAGGAGTTGACTAACCTAAAGTCGTATGTTTAGAGTCCATTAAAAAATCTGTATATGTACATATATATATTTAAGTTTATTTATCTTGA